ATACCTCACACCCAGAGTTAAGGGAGGAAAGATTTATTTAGCTCACAGTTTGTAGAGGTTTCCATCCATGATCAGCCGGCTCCAAAGCAGAGTGGCTTAGCAGGAGAGAATAGTTCATGGTAGGCAGACTATAGCAAAGCAGCAAAGGATCTTAACAGCATTGCTTTCTGTTGCTTTTGTATTGTATCTAGGCAGCTGCTGGAATTAGGGCAGTGCCAAACCAGTGTGTGATGACTGTATCAGTTAGTGGACTGATACAGTAATCGCACACTCTTAAACAGCTCATTGCATGCAGAAGACAGCAAAAGCAACAGAGCACGACCACAGCTCTTTCTGTCCCTTATATTTTATCCAGGCTGCTTACACCCTTAATCCTAGTGCCCTTGAACCTAGCATTGTACCATAAATCAGTTCCAGCATCACACACCTAGATCCAGCCACCTCTGAAAAAGCCCCACCTCTGACAGTGTGATGCTTTTCAAGGGGTCACCTAGGCTCAAACCATAATACTTATTAAATAATTTTGTGCTATTTTGTTCATTAAAATAAGAAATACATTTTTCATACAAATCACAAATCCTCCTTTTGGGAATCTGTTCTAAGCAAAGACTAAGTAAACAAAGATATGTTTTATAAAGAGCTTCATAATGGGAACTATTGAAAACAGCATAAATATTTGGAATGTGTCAAGTTGGTAAAAGTTTTAAAAATCATTAAGAGTAGTAGTTATGCTTAAAATTTTAGCAATCTGATAGGCTGATGCAGGAAGATTGCAAATTTGAACTTGGCCTGGGCGGTTTACTTGGCAAAACCCTATCAAAATAAAAAAGGGCTGGTGATGTAAGGAGCAAAGGTTCAATACTCAGTACTACCTCCTCCCCACAAAGTAGTTGGAAAAGCTTGCAGCACAGTAGGAAGATACGTGGCAGGTATCTGCTATGCAGAGAGAAACAGAGTACTGCGATTGAAAGTGTCATGTGAAAGGTATGGAAAATTTGCCTGCTGATGAAACATGTATCAGTTCATGTTGCCACATTTCTTTCCAGATAAGGATCGTAGCCTAACACAAATGATTTTATTTTTCATTTTTAGAAATGAGGTAGTAGAAACTAAAATGAAGGTGGACAAATACATCAAAGCATTTTGACTGTGGCAAAAATCAGAGCCAACCACTGTAGAAGCTGTAAGAGGAGAACCTCTCCTCCTCATGTGCACAAAGGGATGGAGAGGAATTTGGTAACTATACTTAATAGTTATATGGCAGAACTAGGATATGAACCCAGAATCCTGCTGTTGCATGATGAAAAGATACTAGAAATGTGTATGAATCACTACTATAATAATTTATAGGTTAAAAAGTTTATTTAGTGTGTTGATGGATTTTTCCATGTCAGTGTTTTTTGTTCATTTTGAAAATCTTGGAAAGTGGGAAATGAAAATGTGTTTCTGAATTTTGTTCTATACCAGAAGAGCTTTCCAAAAAAATAAGAAATGAAGGTTGACATTTGGAACTGGTTTCTGGGGGTTAACAGAGAGTAGAGCATTAAATTCTAGTTCTTGCTAAGACCTTTTTATAGCTGAGCTTTATGGATGGTTTTCAGAGTGTCATGTGTGGGTTACATTATGTCACAACACTTTTACCGATAGCAAGGCCTGGGAACAGAGCCAACTTTGTAATATCTATTATTATATAACTCAGCCCTTTTGGAGGGAGTATTCAATATAATTGGGGTTGGGGGAAGAAAAAAGACAATTTGAGGGCTTAGACCCTTTGTGCTATGATGACAAAAGTCACATTAACTGAGAAACATAAACATGGCAAAAATTTATTCTCACCAGTCTGCAGCCTGGGATGTCCAAGATCAAGACATCTGCAGACACCTGGTGTCTGGTATCTTCACTGGCAGATGTCTTCTTATAGTAACTTCATGTGATAGAAGGGCAGGGGTCTTTATAAGGAAATTAGTCTCATTCATAGCACATAGCCCACATGACCTAGTCATCTTCCAAAGTCTCCACCTCCAAATACCATCATATTGAAAGCTAGAATTTCAACATAGGAATTTTAGGGGACATACATTTAGACTGTGGTGAGGAATGAGCTTGAGAAAAGAGGGTTTGCAGGGCTTATTGTAAGTGCTCCACAGGAGGCATCAGATTACTAGATGCTTTCTGTTTTGATATTAATTTTAAAAAAGAGCAAATCTCTGACATATTAAGCAAGTATGCAGCCAGGTTTATGCCATGGCCTCAGGGGAAGCTTGGGGATGTAGAGTTTATTCTACTGAGGGCTGGATGGATGAAACCTGTGGTAGTGACAGAGAAAATAGTCCCATGACTAATTCTAGATTCTGGAACATGAAAAGTTGAATGTTACCATGTTACCTGATCCACATCCCCCATTCTGGGGAAGGAACTCAGAGTCTTATATTAAGCCAGAGTGCTCTACCACTGAGCTACGTGCACAGTCCTATCAGATTCTTGAATAGAGCCAGAGACCCGAAGGCACTGTTGCCTTTATAAATTCCATGTGCGAAATCTAAGAATATTTACACAGAGAATTTCTGTTTGTAAAAGAGTATTTTCATAGATGGTACTTGTATTTGATTTGACATGGGATTCTGCCTTTACTCATTAGGTAGATTTAAATTTCACCAAAATTTATTGTTTCATATCACTTGGGAAAAAATATCTGAAAGTTCTTCTTTTGTGTGTGAAAAGGATATTCATAATTTGATCGGATGCTCTGTATTGGCCTGAATCATATGTGCATTTCCTCCGCATTCTCTTGGTTACAACTGATGATCATTATGACAATGAAAATAAAACATTTTCCTTTGGTGACTCAGCTTTTAAAGGGTGGCTTATGGGTCACCAGAGTACTGTTTTTCCCTTGTGTCATTTCCGCATTTGCACATATGTAGTAAAGTGCGGGAGTGGAGAAGGAAGGCTAATCTGTTATGTGTATGTTGCTTGTAAGTGCTAGCTGTGGCAGAACCTCCCAGTGAGGGAGGAGTCAGCTAACTCATTATTGGGAGACATCGTTTATCTATGCTGTTTTCTTGACCTCTATCCAGTCCTTCCCCTGGCTGCCTAATTGAAACTAAACTCTTCTATGATTCATTTCAGAAACCATGTTGTAAAAAAATGCTTTTGAAATTACTAACTCTGTAATAAAAAGAGAGAAGCGATTTGAGCAGGTAAACCCAAATGACCTGGTCAGAGTCACCAGTGACTCAAATAGGTGGAGCAGGAATTTATGATGCTCTTTCTCTGAATGAGTGTTGCCAGACTCTCCTGATATCTTATATGTTGCCCAACTCATACTAGTCTCTAATTGATATTACTGAAATATTATACTTTAAAAGTTACTCTAAGAAATTAATTGCCATACTGGTGGTCGACAACTGGATATAATTTCTTGATTTATACTATGCCAGAATTATGTTCCTACTAAGTAGTACTTTAGTTACTAGTTCTTCTGTGCATTGCAAGAATGCCACCGGTAGTTAAATTACAGAAATACCCAGTTAGGAGGGGACAGTTACAAGAATTAATTTGGAATTGTCATTTCCTATAAATCTGCTAAGTTTTTTTCTTGACCCTCCACTAGTGATCAGAGAAAATAAGGTGGCAGAAGGAAGGACTTTCTATAAGCCTTTAAGTACACAAATCAGAAATTAGGAATCAGAATAATAGTTGTAGGAAATACTTAAAGTTGGGCGGTGGGATTGAGAGTGTAAGTGGTAGAGCTCATGACTAACAGTATATGCACAAGCCTGTATATTCAATCCCCAGTGCAACAGATCTAAAAACAAACAAAAAATGCAGGGATGGCTTTATTACCTGTATTAAGATGTGTAAAAATCTTAAGTGTGCACAAGCTACTAAAATAGAAAAACATCTTTTGTTTGACAATCTAAATCTTTATAAGCTACTGCTTTGTAATTTTGAATCCTGTTAAACAACATTTTAAAGTCTTTTGAGACTTAATTATATGTAAATCTCTGGAATGTTGAAGGAGTGACATTCCACAAGTTTCAGGGTTCTTTTTTTGGTTTGTTTGTCTTCCTTTTGCCCATTATGAAGAGGAGACTAATAAATTAGATTATTCGATCTTTTTCCGCCTTTGTTTGCTTTCCAGTTGCAGCTCTGTTACAAATAAAGATTTACTTTGTGGATGAATTACTGAACAGGAAATTATTATTTCAAAATGCTGTTTTTTGACAGTGATTAATGATTAATTATCCAAGCTTACATTAGTAGAAAAACATTATTATAGTATTGAATTACTACATGGCCTGGCACTGTATCACTGAACAACAAAACATTGAATTTATAATACAGATTTAGAAGCAAAATTATAAGTGTGGTTGTGAAAGCTGAGTTTCTTTTTTTAGTTGTAGAGTATAGAGGCATAGGTATCTTTGCAGTGTCTAGCACACTAATCCAGTGTTAGACTCTGGAATCCCTGGTGCATTTAATTTTCATTCTGTCATTCTGCTTTGATAACAAAGCAACCAATCCTGGGCTTAAACTGAGGTAGCACTAACTAATTAAGTATGTTAATAAGTTTTCCTGCACCCTGTAAATGTGTCAAAAACAATATGGTTTTTAAGCTATCTTTTTAAAAATAAGTTTGAGAAGAAAAAAAATTTTTTTTATTAAGAAAAAGTGTTCTTAGGGGCAAGTGAACTAAATTATAATGAAGAGTTTCTTAAGCTGGCTATATATTATAAATGTGAAACTACCTGGGTTGGTATATAGAAGTATATGTGTAGAGCCCTGAGAAGGCCATTTCATCTTTGTGTGCAGCAGAATTCTTGTCTCTTTCTTGACTTGTTTTTGTGGTTGTTGCTTTCTTTCTGTTAGGCTCTTGGCCCAGAATAATACATTGGGGCTGCAGTAGTGGTACATGGTACTTATGAGAATGCTTCAAAGGACATTGAACTCATTGACAGTCTTTTAATTGCATATATTATTTCTTTGTTTAATTTCAGTTTGATTAATAAGCTTAAACCTGGCATCATTAAGAAGATCAATCGACTGTCCACACCAATAGCAGGGTTGGTAAGTAATAAATTATCTTTAAAACTATATCTATTTTTTTAACTTTTATTTTTGACAAATAATTGTGCATATTTATGGGGTACAATATGGTGTAGTGCTGGTGTTTTATTGCACAGTAGGGTGACTATAGTTAATGATAGTATACTGTATGTGTCAGAGTAGCTAGAAGGGGGAGTTTTTATTGTTCTCACTTCAAAACTAGATTTTTTTTTTTTTGTCTTGGGAATGTAAAAAAGGTGGGCCTGGATTCTCTTACCTGCAATTACTATAGAAATTAGATTTTTTTTTTTTCTGAAGAAAAGTATCTTTAGCTGTGTCCTCCATACATGTCAGTTCCTTTATGTCCCTTCTGTTGGAAAGCATTTATTGTTTGTTTTGATTCTTTTAATTTTTTTTTTTTGGCCTCAAACTTGGCATACTCCCTTTCTTGGCTTCTTTCTTCTACCTAGTATTAATGTACGTAGGTTAAATTTTTCAAAAGCTCAGATCTGCGTATGTTGCTTTTGAGCTGACGACATGAGCTCCTGGACTCACAGGCATGTTTCTGCTGCTTTCAGTTCATATGTTACTTTCATTTATCATGTAGCTCTTAAGGATATTTTCAAATATATTTAAAACCTATTAGGTATTTTGCTTTATATAGTAAGTTTCCTACTAATATCCTCTGTTACATTGTATAAGTACAAATGTCTTTACCACAGTCATATCCATAAAGCTAGATTCCTTCTAGCTTTAAACACAGAATTTCATGTATGAAAAGTACACTGCACCATCATTATACAGTTATTTTGATGGGTCATGAGCAGTAATAACAGAAGCTGTTTTTAGAAATAATTTGTAACAGTGTAATTAATAGATAATTTACAAAAGCTTAGAAATCCTAAAAAAAATCAGTGCTGATGATATGAGTCAGAAAAATTTTCACAAAACATTGAACTTTAAGACAGCTAATGATTGAAAAACTAATTGTCTTTGGAATGGTTGCAGTGTCTGTAATAGACATTGAAAAAGCTTTTGTTCAGCCATTCATGTGTTTATAGATATTAACAGTATGAGTACTATAGTTTAGTGGCCAGGTTTATGGGTTTGCAGAAGGCATATAAAGTTCATCAAAATCTTGAGAATGATAAGTTTTGCAAAGTGTTTATTATTGGGAAAATACTTCTGTAGGAGCGAAAAAATGAAAAGTTTTTGTAGTTTTCATTTGAAGTGTAGAATATATCTAAAGTTGCCAATATAGTTCTTTTTTATTTTAAAGAGGGTAAAATTAAACACAACTAAAATAGAACAAAGCAGAACGTAAGAAAGCAATGTAAGAGACATAAATTTCAAAGCAAGACAACCACAGATCTTCACTATCTATCAGATTGTCTCTTTCTTTCAGATAGTTGTTCATATTTTCACATACAGTGACATAGTTGTTCATATTTTCACATACAGTTCATACAAAGTAACATAGTATAAAACTGATCAGAACAAAATGATGAAGGTGTTTTAGGTCTTCAAGACCAGACAATAGGGAAGTCAACAATGGTTGTCATAGTGTCTCTCATTCTCTTCAAAATAGTTGTCCATACCTTCATGTATGTTGAAATTCAAACAAAATGGGCTAAAATCACTCTGAACAAAGAATAATAGTATTGCTGGATTTCAAATCATGACGCTATGGAGTCAGTACTGGTACTATAGTCACTTTTTCTTCAAAGTAGTTGTTCATTTCATCATGCATTATATAATCAGTTGTCATAGACTGTTTATAAGTTCTACACATGTGTGAGTTTCTACATGTATATTTAACCTTTATATATTAGTGGGAAAAATAAAACAAAGCAAGACAAAACAAATTCATAGAAAAACATGAAATGAAAATGTCATAAACCACAATACAAGGTGATCTACGATGGTTACTGTGATGTCTCTTGTCTCAATATAATTGTCTATATTGTCAAGCATAGGATAATTGAGTATAGCAGTACATAACAGTATTAATAAAGATGAAACATTGGAGACATTACAAGGCTTCAAAAGCAGGTAATAATCAAATCAGAGTGGGAATCCTAGTGAATCCTGTCATTTTCAGTGTAGCTGCCTATACTCTCAGATTTGATATTAAATCAGTCAATATAAAATAGCAATCTAACAAACCAGATTCAAATAAAATCAGTCATAATAAGAGTATAAGTTATACAGGGCTTCAAATTAAGTTAATAGGAAAATAAGGATGATTACTATACTATATTCTGCTATTTTTGGGATAGCTAATCTAGTACAAGTAGACAAATTGGAACAGAATATAATCCATCTAAACAGAGCAGTGAGAGTAATGTGGATTTTAAATCCTGATACACTATTAACAATTTCCTCTGCCTTCCTTTTTTAGACAATTCCTCACCTTTCACTCCCACAGGGTGCACTGCACATTTTGGGTCCCACCAATTCCTTCAGTTTTTAGATTAGGGAGGCAACCTGCTGTTTACCTAAGTGGTTCCAAACCTTCACTCTCCTGGACTTGATCTCAAGTTGTATTCCTTTACCTACAAAAGCCTCAAGGTTTTCTTTTATTATAGCTGAGTATTTCTCTATTGCACAAAAATATCATATCTTTCAAATCTATCTGCAGGTGCTGGTCAAGTTGCCCTTATTTCTCTCTGGTTCCTTTTCACATAGAGCATTATTTTCTCGTATTTGATTTTAGGTCCATAAACCCTCTTTCAGGTTAATTATATTTCCTATACAGAGCATCTCAGTGGACCCTATCTTGTGATCTACTCTTCCTGTGTTTCTTTTGTTAGTGTATCAAGGCCATCTATGTTAGAGATTTTAGCCAACCTTCTCTGCCTCGTTTCTGCTATGCTGTTTTTCTGCCACTGGTTGTCTACTTTTCTCTTTCATTCCACTGTCTGCCCTGTTCATTGGGGCTTCTCTGCCACTGTTTCTGAAATCTTAGTATTTTTTTCCTCTCTCTAGAATATCCTTCAGTATTTTTTGTAGGGTTGGATTGGTGGTCATGAATTCCCCCACTTCCTCTTTGTCATGGAAGCATCTTGTTTCTCCATTAATTTTGAGAGGCAGTTTGGAGGATACATCAATCTGGGCTGGAGGTTATTTTCTTTCAGAGCTTCAAGTATGTTGCTCCAAGCTCTTCTTGTTTGATGGTTTGTGTTGAGAAGTCTGCTGTGATTTTGATGGGTTTTCCTTTATAGGTGATCTGTTTCTTTTCTCTGATGGCTTTTAATACTCTGTTCTTACGATGAATTTCTGGGATCTTGATTATTATGTCTGGATGTAGCTCTGTTTTGGTTGTAGGTGGCTGGAGTTCTGTATGCTGCATACTTCTGAATATCATTTCCTTTTCCTATGCTTGGGAAGTTTTCCTTGGTTATTTCTGTGAATAGCCTTTGCAGTTCCTTTGTATGTACCCCTGCTTCTTCACTCACATTTTTTATTCTTACGTTGTAGATCCTCTTGTCGTCTTCTAGCCTTTGTGTCATTACTGCCTGTTTCATTGTTATTTTTAAAAGATCTTTCCTTTTGTGATCAGACATTGCAAAACTATCTTCAAGTTTTGTTAATCTATCTCTAGTTTCTGTCATGCAGTTTTCCCAGCTTTCAATGGAGTTTTTAATTTCCTGGTAATCCCTTTGAATCTGTTTCATGTATTCTAGGTTTCATTTATATTCTTCATTGAACATTTCTCTCCTTTTTTGTGTGTGTTCCTCCATTCTTCTGTCTGTGTTTTCCTGAGAGGTGTTCAGCATTTCTTTTATTAATCTTCTTAAATCTTGCTTTACTTGAATTAATATTTCAGTTTTGAGCTCATCTATGAGGTCACAAAGGTATCTGTCTATGTGTGCTGATGCCCTGTCTGATATTGCATGTTTGCTGCCCTCACAGTCTCTTTTGTATTTACCTCTCCTGGATCAATATTCACAGGTTTGGGGGCTGGGGGCTTTTTCTTATTTCTTTCTCTTGTCATGTTTTTGGTTTCTTCCATATAGGTGTATAGTGGAGGTCCCAGCCCTTTTCCTGGTTGGCTATGGTTCTTCTGAAGCATGCTAGCTAGGGAATTCTGCTTTTCTCTAGTTTGCTGAGGTGCAAGCAGGGGTGGTATATGCTGGCTCCTCCCCTTCGAGCCAGTCAACCTGAGGGGGCCTTCACCACGTTAGTGTATGCCACACTTACGGAATTGGTTTGGGACAACTCACTTGGTCCCGGCCAGGGGTGTGACCCAGGCCAAGTAGATCCCACCAATCTATTGTAGGCAGGGAGCAACGAACTGAAGTCACTGCCGTTCCTAGTGCAGGCCTGTCCTGCCCGATTCCAACATGTCGTCCAGTTGGTCACCCCTTTCCCATGGGAGAGTCTTATTGTGAGCATTCACCGTGGGTTAGCGCAGGTCTCTTCATTGGCTCCTTTCTCTGTTGACCCCCAACTTTAGCATGACCACTGCTCCTGCAGCGAATGTATTGTGATCTTGAGTTTGGGTGGCTCCAGTGAGAGGGGTGTGGCCATGAATCTGCGCTGCTTTGATGATAGCCCCATGACCACATGTTTGACCAGCTCTTTTCCCTTTAGTTTCTTTTTGGGTCGAGAGGATCCATCTCCCTCTGTCTGGTCCTCTCCAGGATGTTTTATTCCAACATGTGAGTTGTTTCTCTCAGGGAAACTCTGTATTTTGCTGCTTACTGATCCGCCATCTTCAGCTCTGTTTGCCAATGTAGTTCTAATATTAATTCATTCTTAGTTGCCTCTATTCTGTGTCTATTATGACTAGGTAACTGATCTAATACGTTTATTGGTCTCAAATTTGGTTAGGTAAAAAGCACTATATATACCCGTTATATATAGAGAGTCAGAAGATATTATTATGAAAGGGAAGGAAGAAATTTGGCTTTCAAAATCTTTTTAGGAATGATTTAGTATAAGTAATTTTTTATATGAAAATGACTTGTGTAAGGCAACTTCTATAAAAATTAAAAGTTTGAGTTGTACTGGAATTG